AGCACAAGGCCCTTCCCTCACTCATGATGTAGGCTCTGCTGTAACCATGGTAAAGCTCTCCTGGAATCAAGATTGAGGGTACTCTCAGTATGTAGTATAGCCATAGTCTGCAATCTCATTTTCTTTCAGGAGGAAGTTCTGACCTAAGAGTCGGAAACATAACATAGAGTTCAAAAGCTTGTTCTTTAGGATCTGGTATCCCTAAATTCAAACAGTGACTCTGCTGCCTAGCACTTATATAATCTTGGGCAAACTAACTCAAGTTTCTAATGTTTTAAATGTTTAGAATGACAACAATGAAGAAACAACTTTCTGGAATTGTTAGAAATGCTGAATGAGAACATCCATGTATCCTAGGAGTGTTGCAAGCTTTTATTTAATCATAGCACTTTTAGTTATTTTTATTATTTTATAGTCTTGAAACACTCCTTCGGTGCATATATAAGAGTTCTTTGTACTCTTTCCAGACTGGTGTTTCTGGGAAGAGTTTGTGGTTACATCATGTTGAACATAAAAATAATTTCCTATCTATTGTTTCTCTGTTCCTAACTTGCACTCACTAATATGTTGTCACTGAGTACAATTATTATAATTTTCCTGAACTCCAGTTCTGCCAGTGACAGAAGGGTAATGAGACATAAAGGAAGTGTTAGACATCTTGACATGGTGATATTAACAAGATGACGTATTGATGGAATGTTTTGAGTTGCCAAGATTGCAGGCATCACAGATATTATTGAGCATTATTCATACTGCTTAATGCAATATAGAGTTTCTGCTTCCCTCCCTGAACAATCTTGTAAAGTCATTTTTTAAATGACTGTTGATGTTTTCCCTGTTAAGGTTTTTAAACAAGCTTTACTATGATTATTTTGATGTTTGGTCCATAATGACTAGATTTTACACTCAAACTGTTAAATGAAGGATTGTAGGGCATATACATTTGAGAGTGCCACTAGCCCATCAGAAAGTGCCCTGGGAATAGCATCTTCTATGGGCACAGACACCTTGGTAATGTCCAGCAGATTCACACCTAGTGAGCATCACCAGCTGACTGTGGTACCTGATGCCTTCATGTAGGTTTGGTCTTTGGTCAGGTGATGAAGTCTGCCAGTCTAACAATGGCTCTACTGACATTTTAGCATTTGCTATCACTTATAAGAGCTATGGTATTCTGGGCACATTTTTTTTTTATCACATAAATCACTCGTTAAGTACAATCATAAAAACAAAAAAAGGAGATCCAGGGCTTTCAAATATTATTGGCAAAATACTTTGAAGTTGTTGGGTGAGTAAAAACAGCAATACTTTCATATATAATGACTACCAAGAACAGTTCAAACTAACAAATTTTAAAAGAATCATTCTTTTAAATGGTATTGTTTTCCTGGTTACTCTATTGTAAATACCACACTCACCCCTAAAAATATCTCCTTGGAATCTTTTGCTGTCATCCAGTTGGTAATTTTCCCATTTATTTAAAACCTAGTTCAAATAATAGCATAAATACAGAGTAGAACTTTGTTCATCATTTCTTTAAAGAGAAAAATACTGAATGATGCAGACTCACAATAAGTACATTGTGAGAGATATATTGGCCTATCCCCAGTTAAGTGGGGAGTAAGCGGCTTTTTGCCCAATTACTCATTCTAATAAAGACTGACTCATGCTTTTTTAGAGAATGTTTTTAAAATGTTCATTTTGGACAACAGTAGCCCTTAATGATGAAGCTTAAATGTGAGAATACTTACTTCCGGTGTGTGTATCAAAAAGCTGGTGCTTCTCGAACATGTGTAAACAGGCACTGCCTGTGCAGGGCATCATTATGCTCCTTCTAGTCTAAGGCATTTCCTTGTAGTTACAGGGGGAAAAAAAATCCAGATTTAAGATGAAGTCCTGCAAGGTGTGTGCGTGTGTGTGTGTATGAGAGTATGTGCACACAAAATGGTTGGAAGAAGGATTTATTGGGGGGAATACCAAAAACAAGCCCAGAGAACAGAGAGAGATCTTTTTTAGCCAGGGAAAGAACTTAGCATGGTGATTTTCAGAAGGAGGTTCTCAAAATGTGATACTTTAGAGCCACATCACTTGGTCATTTTGGTGGAAATTTTCAGGTTTCAGAATTTCTAAATCAGAAGCACTAGATTGGGTGCAGTAAACTGCGGTAGAGACCCCTAAGTTTGAGAATCACTCTTTACTATAGAATAAAGCGGCACTGGGATGACTAGAGAAGAGGGCGACTCCACAAAGAATTCTAGTGAGTCTCTAGTATTGTATTATAGCTGTTCAGGTACTATTCCTGGTGTGACTGAAGAATTCTACAACTGTTTCCTAGGTTAAAACTTCTTGTTTCAATCAGGGACAAATTGTTCATTTCACCATAGGAAATTGAAGAGTTTATGCTTTTCCATAAATTGGTTTTCCATTTTAAATGTATCATTTTTGAAATTTTTTTTAATTTAAACATTTTTTTATCATTTAAATTTGCTTTGGTGAAGAATATAAAGTAGTTTTCCTATCTCAAAGTTTTGGCAACCTATCTATGTTGGAGTAAAGAGTTTTAGCTTTGGACATTGTATTTGGTAAAGTCAACCACAGAATTTTGAAGATCTGCCAGGAAACTTGAGGTTTCAGTACAAATTACATGTTGCACAATTTGGGTTTTCACCCAATCTTTCAATGTAGTTTCACCTATCAGAGGAAGAAATGGCTCTTGTGCAATTGATATTTTAAAGTATGCCACCTTTTAAGATAAAGTTTACATTTGTTATCCACTATGTTTAGAACTTTTCCCACTCATTTCCTCTTCTTTTCTGTTTCCCTTTCTCTCCTCTTTTTTTCCTCTCCTCTTCTGATTTGTTCTTTCTCTCTATAGCAACATGGCTTTTGATTACTTTTAAAAATAAACTTTTCAAGAATAAAAAATGTTAGGAATATGAATAAAGAGTATGATAAATAAGAAAAGTTAAAGGTGAAATGGGGTGTGGTTAACACACAAAGGAGAAACAAGCTGCATGTCTGGCAATTTGTGCTAGAGGGTGGGATGGTCCCAGAATGTCCTGTTGGGAACCTGGACTCTCAGAAGAGCACCTAACTTACCGAGGATGGGTTAGATGGGGTAGTTGTAGTGAGCATGAGTAATTATTTCTGGATCACTCATTATGCTTGACTTTCCCGGTTAGTTATGTCCCATTGCTGAGCTTCGTTTTTGGAATTAGTTTTCTTTTCTTATTTTTTTTTTTATTGGTTTATGACACTATATAAGGTGGGGGGGTAGGTTTGTACCTTTGCAGATGTATGTCACCACACCACACCCACCACCCAAGTAATTGGTCCTTTACCCTAGACCATTGGTGCCCTTTACTCTTCAGTCAACACTCCCACCCTTCCTCTTCCTTAAGTAGCATCAAATCTATAGTCATATTTCTAGTGTTTATTTTGGTCTACTTTTGTGGAAATTACTTCTCTCTACTCCTATATTCCACATATACGTGAGGTCATCTGGTATTTGTCTTACTCCTAAAGGTATGTACTAAGTATAATCTCCTACATCTCTATCCATGTTGTCCCAATGGTAAGCTTTTATCTTTTTATTTTATTTTATAAATATATTTTTACATTATTCTTCATTTTGTACATTTTTTTTAAAGATTTATTTATTCGTATAGAACTGGAGTACAGGCCAGAGATGTGGAGGGTGAGAGGATTCACCAGAGACAGAGTGGGGTGCAGAACAGGCAGATGGACAGGGCGGGTCAGGAGAGGTCTGCCTCACCATGTGGATCACCTCCGGGGCAGGCGGGAATCGAACTCACGCGGAAATGGTTTAAGCTTCCCTGTGCTGTACTTTAACCCTCTGTGCCACCAGGAAGGGCCCCCATTTTGTACATTTTTTTCATCTCAGTTGTAATCCGCATGGACTTCCCACCACCAGTCCTTTTTTATAGCTGTGTAGTATTCCAATGCGTACATCTACCACATTTCTGTATCCACTAACCTGCTTGTGGACATTCAAGTTGTTTCTACAACTTGGCTAATTTAAATAGTGCTGCAGTGAACACAACATAGGAGTATACATCTCCCTTCAAATTCGTGACTTTTTATTCTTTGGGTAAACAGCTATGTATGTAACCAATAGGTCACGTGGTATATCTATTTTTAATATTTTGAGGAACCTCTATACTATTCCCATGGGGTCAGGATCATTCTACATTTCCAGCAACAATGTCTAAGTTTCCTTTTTCTCTATACCCTTGCTAATGCTTTCTGTTTCTGTTTTTGTTTTTGTTTTTCACATGGACCATTTTCACAGGCATGAGATATCTCATTGTGGTTTTGATTTCATTTCCTTCATGATAAGTGGTGATGAACATTTTTTCATGTGCATTTTGGCTGTCCATATGTCTTCTTTAGAGAAATGTCTATTCAGTTTTTAAGCTAATTTTCTGGTTAGTTTGTTGGTTTTCTTGTTGTTGAGTTTTATATGTTCTTTGTAGACCTTGAATATTAGCCTGTTGTGAGATCTATAATGTGAAATATTTGCTCCCATTCAGTAGGTTATCTTTTGACAGTAAACTACTTATATGCAATATGATTTTTCTCAGGACAGCATTGAATATGTGGAAGGATTTGGGGAAGCATTACATCTGGTGATTTTTAGTATTCTGATCACCAAGCAAGGAATGTCTACTTATTGGAGTTTCATCTCAGTGTTTCTTTTGTTGTCCTTAGAATTTTCTTATTACATTTTTATAGAATCAGTAATGCATATGCTTGTTGGTATTACTCCAGGATTTGGACGTTTTGTAAATGGAGTGCTAATGTATATTTCAAGAAATTTAGTCCAGCATCTTACCAGAAGTAAAGTGTCCATATAGAGTATTTTTCTATGTTGTTTCTATTTAAATATGTGTGAATGTTTTGAGTTTTGTTTTTCTGCCAGCATGTATATGTATGCTTATAAGGTATATATTTTAAAGATACATATATTTACTTTATAGGTGAAAAAATGTTAACCTGCGAAAGGGTCAATTTCCGGTTAAGAGGAATTCCAAGAAGTAGGTCTGAAGGAAATTTGGTGGACATGGAAGTGCAAAAAGCCACAAAAAATTGCAATATTACAGGTACATTAATTTTTTACTCTTGTAATAAGTCTAATGATGGTATATTTTTCATATAAAAATTGACATTTCTTGTAGTAGTATTAATATAAATTAATATAAAGTTATCCCCAAAATGCATGCTTATCTAAGTAATGTGTATTTTTAAAATATGTAAGTTAGCTCTTACCACACATATTTGATATTTTTCACATATTAAATATTGAGTCCTTGATTTTATAACAGAATAATGTTAAATAATGCTAAACAGTCTAACTGTAATGAGACAAAATAGTCACTGTTTAGGAAAATCAAAATTGATTGATTGCCTCTGTTTGTTCAGAGTATGCTTTTATACAAATGAAACAAGACATAAGGGCATATAGTCTGAGTCCTTTTCAGTGCTGTGCTTTAACCTGCTGCGCCACCAGGGAGGGCCCCCAGTCTGAGTCCTTTTCAAGGAAATGTGTACAATGATTGTTATCTAAATTGTTAAATGTTTATTTGTTTACAGATCATGATGCCTAAAGGTAAAATAACTATGGTTAAAATAAACGGGTAGAACAATTTCTTCATTAATTAATTTAGCATTAGTTCGAAGAAGTTACAAGACTGGAGATCAAAAGGCAAAATAAAAGTATTGAATTTTTAAGTTATAATGAAAAATTAGTTTTAGTTGTATTTCAGAATGTCATTTCATCTCTGTTTTGCTTTGTTCTTATTTAAATGACAACAATTTGTGCAGACTCAGGTTTGCTTCTCAATTACCCAGATGCTTTCACATTTCTTGGCGATGATGCTTCCAAAGTTACAAATCCATTTTGGAGTGAACTGTCAGCTTCAAACCCATTTTTGGATGACATAACTCAGCAAAGAAATAACCAGAAGAGAGATAAAATTTCCATCTTGAAAGAAGATCCTTTCCTTTTTTTTAGAGAAATAGAAGCTGGAAATTCTGATTCTTCTGGGGATGAACTTGATGTACACCAGTTGCTCAGGCAGACTTCCTCAAGGAAATCTGGAAAATCTAAAAGTGTCTCAGAACTTTTGGACATCTTAGATGGCAAAGCACATGCCCTTCAGAATACATATGATTCTGACCAGATACTAGATCAAGACTTAGAATGGCTTCAAAATGATAGAGAGGCTTATAAAATGGCTTGGTTAAGTCAACGCCAGCTGGCTCGTTCCTGCCTAGATTTCAATACAATTAATCAGAGTCCTGGATGGACCCAAACACAAGTTGCAGAAACCACAATCATTTGCAAATTAAATCACCAAGGAGGGTCAGTACAATTACCTGAGTCAGATATCACCATTCATGTGCCTCAAGGTCATATAGCAGTGGGAGAATTTCAAGAGGTATCTCTAAGAGCTTTTCTCAATCCTCCACAAATGCTTAACCATGATCTTTCATGCACTGTAAGCCCATTGTTAGAAATCATGTTAGGCAACCTTAACACAATGGAAGCCATTTTGCTGGAGATGAAAATTGGGACTGAAGTGAAAAAGGATCCTTTCAGTCAAGTCATGACAGAAATAGTATGTTTACACAGCTTGAATAAAGAAGGCCCATTCAAAGTGTTAGACAACTGCTATGTTTATAAAGATACCATCCAAGCCAAGCTAAAAGACTTGAACCAGGTGATGTACCTAGTGGTTGCTGCACAAGCTAAAGTTATTCAGTCACCAGCAGCAACCATTTGGGATTATATCCATAAAAGCATCTCAGTTGGAATTTATGGACCCAGATATATCCATCCCCATTTCACCGCTATTTTCACAATTTGTGGACACAGTTATATGCCACAAAAGCTTACAATCTCTGATATTAAAAAGGATAGGAAAAACACACCTCCAGTTGTATTTCAGCTCTGGGGGAAGCATTCATTTTTACTTGAAAAACCTCAAGATTTAAGTATTTCTGTTTTTCCATGTGATCCTGATTTTGAAGTAAAGACAGATGGACAAAGGGAAGAAATCAAGCAAAAGCAGTTGCAATCAGGTCAGGTAGTTCATCAGCAATTTTTATTTTCTTTAATTGACTCTAGAGAAATGCATTTGTTTGTTTTTCGTGTTCAAGTGGAATCTTCCAATGGTAGACCAGTGACACAGTTCTCTATCACTACACCTGATCTAGCCCCCAAACTAAAAAGGCTCTCAAACCCACTAGGCGATTTACAAAAGGAAATAGAAATCATGTCGGTTCCTATGTTACCAACAGTGTGTGTTAAATATCCCACATTTCAAGAAAAAAAATTGAACTTTACCTACTATGGAGTAGCCCTGAAGACAGTGCTAAGACACAGCAAGATTGACTACTTACTTGAATATTTCAAAGGGGACACAATAGCTCTTCTTGGAAAAGATAAGGTGAAAGCCATTGGGCAGTCCAAAGTGAAAGAATGGTATGTGGGAATTCTGAGAGGTAAGATTGGACTTGTGCATTGCAAAAATGTCAAGGTGATTGCAAAGGAACAAGCAATATTTCCAGCATTTAATGTTTTCACAACCAGCAATCTTCTTGAACAAATTGCCCTGCCCTTTAAACAACTGACTTACATCTACTCTGTTGTATTGACCTTGGTGTCAGAAAAAGTTTATGATTGGAAAGCTTTAGCTGATGTCCTGGGCTATTCACAGCTGACCCTGGAAGATTTTGATCAAATCCAAGCAGATAAAGAATCAGAAAAAGTTTCTTATGTTATAAAGAAGTTAAAGGAAGATTGCCATGCAGATAAAAATACCAGAAAATTTCTTTATGAACTTATTGTGGTGAGTAATCCTTGATCACGTAATGTATTTGGTATAGGGAATTTTATTAACCTGGCAGCATTTATAACAAAACAAATGAAAAGTTAAAAAATGTTCAGCAAGCTAAGACAAGCAGCTACCTTACAGAAAATATAAACCTTTTCCTACAAGATCATATTATTGGTTTCTTAGATTTAGGATTTAATTGTGATTTTTTTCAGAAATCATACCTCTAAAACCATCTTTTAAAGGAAATTTAAAAATTCTGTCTGTTCTAGTGCATAATAGTTAATTGCATAGACAGGTCATATACAGAAGCAAAGTGTTAAAAAAAATGGAGAAAAACATGAGGAGAGAAATTTATTGGTGACTTTAGCCATTTATACTATAAATGTATAGTAAAGAAATAAGTATATATAAAACATCTCCTCTACTTCAATTACTTTTATGGTTCCACAAAAATGGAGAAGGGTTATTTTAAAAGCCCCCAATATCTAGTTATTATGTGGATGTAACACTACAATATGAGTCATGACCATGACCATGAGTCATATAATATGGGCCATTTAGAGTCATTGACCGACCTACCTAGTTAAAACAGTATATGAATTTTGCAATAGAGAATTACCTCTCATCATTCATGCTCACTATAAATCTGTGATATTTGAATTGAAATTGTTTTTCTTTTTTTATTTATTATTTATTATTATTTATTTATTTTTCATTATTTTTATTATTTTTTTAAGATTTATTTATTTGTACATACAGAACTGGGGTACAGGCCAGAGGCTCAGGGGTGAGCCAGAGACAGAGTGGGGAGCAGAACAGGCAGATCGATGAAGTACACTGCTGAGGGGAGCAGCGGGTGGGCCAGGAGAGGTCTGCCACACCAGGTGGTCACCTCCGGGGCAGGCGGGAATCGAACCCATGCGGAAGTGGCTTTAGCTTTTCAGTGCTGTGCTTTAACCTGCTGCGCCACCAGGGAGGGCCGAAATTGTTTTTCTTTTAATGGAAAAAAAGATTATATTGCCAAGTGACATGAAAGTTTAGGCTAGATCATCCCTACAGTGCATTGATGTATCATAAATGAGTAGTTTTGGTGACTAGAAGACAGTGCTGGTATAGAGATCACTTAAGAAAGAAGTTCTTAAAAACTCATTCTACTCATCAGTGGAAGCTTCAGGAATTCTGTGAAGAGGGGGGCTTAGGCCTAGTTATATGGTTGGAGCACATGGTATAGAAGTGTAGAGGCCATCTCTTAAATCTTTACATGCATATAAATAAGTATTTTCTTATATTATCAATATTTGGGGTAACCAGAAAGAATCTGATAAAGATTGAGCTTCTGAACCATTTAGTCATCTCTGACTGTTAAAATTGGCCTTTTATACTGGATACTTGATTCTGTCTTAAGCATTTTACCATATGATTCAATATTCAAATTTCATAGTGATTCTAGGGGACTAATTGGGATGGTATTTCCACTAAATTCATTTAATCAAAATCACTAAGAAAAAAAAATCTAGTTTTTGAATTTTAGAAAACTTAAATATATGTATATTAAAATGGAATGTCTGTATCTAGAATATGTAATGAAAATTTTAATTTACAGGAAAATGCCCCAATAGGGTTATTTTAAATATGACATGTAACTACTGGATTACAAGCCTCATACTGGATATTTGACTCTGTCTTAAGCATTTTACCATGTGATTCGACTTTTATAATGATTCTAGGGGATTAATTAGGGTGGCATTTCCACTATATTCATTTAATCATTCACTAAATAAAGGTTCCTCATGATTGAGGTAGAGTCCTGTACTTTGTGGTGCTTTTGTAACTCCACATTCAAATTTTGTTTCCTTAAAAAAGAAAAAAAGCTAAGTATAGCAAATTCATTCACCAGTCTACTTAGGCACAATTCCTTGGACCTCTTGACTCTGCACTACTTCTCCCTGAGGTTACATCTCCTCACCATAAATGTACTGATCAGAATAATTTTTGTATAAAAACATGGTGTCCTTTTAATGAACCCGTGAGAAGAAACACTATAAACTTTTAATAGTTGTCTTACTTGGATATTCCTTTTCACTTGCTTCATAAAGATTTTAGGTAACATTAAATAACAAGGGGCTATCAACCCTTTTTACTTGTTTATTTGAACATAAAGTGATATAGATAACTTTTAATTCCAGATTTTAAAAATACCTTCAAGTCAAAAGAGAAACTTAAAGATTTGTTTGAAACATGCAAGATTGGCAAAAGCTCAGATTTCTAATTAAGGAAGAAAGTTTGATAGTTTCCAAGTTGCTTTGTTGAAGACTAAGTGTTTTATGTTTTATACCTTGTGATTTATATTTAATACATTACACTGATGGTGAAGGGAGAGGTTTTTGTTTTTTTTTAAGTCAGTAACATCAATAGATCTGTTCAAATTTGTCAGCATCTCAGTGTTATACAGGAGGCACGACTCTGAAAGATTTAAATCACATTTTGATAATAATTAGAATAGTGTTTCCTAGCCCTGGTGCACTGACTTTTTATAAAGTTCCTGTAGCCAGTCCTTTGGTAAGAATAGTATTTATTTTGTCATAAATGATCATCTCTGGGTCGATAAATTATAGACTGCTAGACTTTCAGATTATCTTTGGAATTGTTTAGTTAAACTTTCTCCTTATGTAATTAATGACATTAAGGAACATATTAGCTAAATGGTCTCTCCAAGACCCTATAGTTAATTACTGAGTTAGTATGAAATCTCCCCTAATTCTGATCTGGTTATTTGTTGTACTTTACTAGTTGAGTTTTTCTAAAAATAAATCAAGATTTTAAATTTTAGAAAATTTAAATATATGTATATATAAAAAAGGAATGCCTATATCTAGAACATGTAATGAAGATTTTAATTTACAGGAAAATACCCCAATAGGGTGGTTTTAAATATGTAATTACTGCTGCAGGCTTTATTGAAGATGGATTGCCAAGGGTTAGTAGCACATCTCATCCAAGAGGCTGCTATTTTGACTTCAGCTGTCAAGCTTGGAAAAAGCTGGAGGGAATTAGCTGAAAAGTTAGTACGATTCACCAAACAACAAATGGAGGCATATGAAATTCCTCACAAAGGAAAAACTGGAGTTGTTGCTATTGAGGTAAGATTTCTGTTTGCCTAATTCAGAAATGAAAATTTGTAGACCAGCTAAATCAAATGTCATCTAGCCTATACCAATATATGAATTAATTATATCAGTGTCCTTGAGAATCCACTAACTGAAGTCACTACCCCATAACTGCAATATTATGTAATGTATATACACGTCACTCTTTAACGGCATTGAAAACTTTTAAGATATATTCATGTTTGTCCTACTGTGTTGATATTGATATAGCCTTTGATCAACTATGTGTGACCAAATCTGATAGTGATTCAGTTAGTAGGAAGGGCTATAATTATTTGAGGCAGAAAACAAATCAACTTTCAAGGAAGGAGATGGGGCCAAGTCAGGATAAGGGAAGAGGTTATAACAATAAGTACTGACCAACCTCAGCCACAGAGACTTACTCATATGTGATAGATCATATTTGGTGACAAGTTTTAAGAAGGTGGGGATGATTGGTAATAACAGATAGCAATATCTCATCACTTCATTATCTTCTTTGCAATTTTGCTTACAATAAGAGCTGTAGAAGTCAGACACAGAATAACAACACTTCCAACAAAGTAAATATTTGCAACACAAATATGGGTTTTATTAATATTGAGACAAATGTGTACTGTTAGGCATAACCTAAATATTTTCTCTACTATAAAGAAATGAGAGTAAATGTTTGGTGACTTAAGCAGAAATACTCCAGTGTTAAATGTCTGTATATTGTTCCCATGTGTGTAAACATTTTCAAAAGTTCAGTTAAAGGAATACCATTTTTTCTGATTAAATGATTGGTAGGAGACAGAAGCTATGTTCTCCATTTCCTTTTGGGGGCATAGAACTGGATATTAATTTCTTGAGAAAGTGTTCTTACTTCAAAATATCTGTGCTAGCTGGGTGAGTGGGACACAACTTTTTCTTGAAGACTCAAAAGTCAAATCAAGTCGGTTGAATCCCAGCACCTATTGGAAGTCTTAGTAAACTGACTCCTGGGGCCTTGTAGCCTGGACCTGTAGCAAAGTTGACTCGAAACTATTCTCTAGCCAGGATATATTTCCCCCTCATCTCAGAGACTACATGTATTGCCATATGCAAGGAAGTGCATTACAATCTGCAATTAAATTTTACTGAATGAGCTAAAAGATGAGAAACCCCTAAGAAAGAAAAAAAGAACACTATGCCTGATAAGTTATTTTGATATTTCAGTTCATTTAGTTTGTACAACCTATCTGATAATAGAATGTCTGATCCACAAAATCCACAATACTGATAACACTAATGCTGTGTTATTAAGCTGTGTAGCAAGAGGAAGATTCATTCATTGCTGGTGGGAATGCAAAATGTCACAGCCACTTTCAGAGGCATTTGGTGGTTTCTTTCAAAGAAAATATACTCTTTTTTTTTTAAATATTTATTTATTTATTCATACAGAACTGGGGTACAGGCCAGAGATGTGGAGGGTGAGAGGTTTCACCAGAGACAGAGTGGGGAGCAGAACAGGCCGACTGACAAAGTACACTGCTGAGGGGAGCAGCGGGCAGGACAGGAGAGGTCTGCCACACCATGTGGATCTCCTCCGGGGCAGGCGGGAATCGAACTCTTGCGGAAGTGGCTTAAGCTTCTTAGTGCTGTGCTTTAACCCGCTGCGCCACCAGGGAGGGCCCCAGAAAATATACTCTTAATACAAAACTCACTAATTGTACTGCTTGGTATCTATTCCAATGAGTCAAAAGTCTATGTCCATACAAAAGCTTGCACATAAATGTTTATAGAAAATACATAATTGCCAAAAATTGAAAACAAGCAAGATGACCTATAGTAGATGAATGGGCACACAATCTGTGGTACATCTCATACAATGGAATATTATTTGTTATTAGAAAGAAATGAGCTAACAAACTATGAAGAGACATGGAAGAGCCATAAATATATGTCACTAAGCAAAAGAAACCAATCTAAAAGGCTAATTGACACATACTGTATGATACACATACTATATGATTCCAACTATATGACATTTTGGAAAAGATAAAAGTATGGAGGCAGCAAAAAAGTGGTTGCCAAGGGTTGGAGATCAGGGGGAGATAGATAGGCAGAGGACAGAAGGTTTTAGGTTTGAAAATATTGTGTAATACCATATTTATAAATACATGTCATTATAATTTGTTCAAATCCATTGTGTGTTCAACACTGAGAGTGAATCCTAAGGCAGCCTGTGGACACTGAGTTATGATGATGTGATGTGTCAATATAGACTTATCCCTTTAAACAAATGTCCAGTTCTGGTGGTGGACATTGATAGTGATGTAGTCTAGGAATGTGTTAGAGTGAGGAACATATGGAAAATATCTGTATCTTCTCAGTTTGTTATGAATCTAAATGTATTTTAATAATAAATCTTCCAAACAATTTGTATAATTAAAGGCAAGCTTTTGTTTTCTTACCAAGGCTTTTTTTTAAAAAGCTTAGTTCAGAGTTATCAGAAACTTTATTCTTTAACTTTATTCATCAGCTGACTACTCACTATTTTTCTGCCCCCTGATTTTGATGGACTCCAACAGCCTACTTTTCCATCATTTACTTTGGCACAGCCTGAGACTGCTAAATATTCAGAAGCAGAAGGGAAAGCCCCTAGATGTCTTTCCAGGGGATACTTTTTAATTTATTGTTATTAATTCTAACAGTGATCACTCTGATCACTCTAACAGTTCTCAAATGTTTAGAAAATAATCCATCTTATTTTGGCCTAAAGTCATTCCGGTAACTTTTGGAACTCTACCTGTTAGGTCACTTAAACAGAAGGATAAATGTAAGCTCATGCCCATCTCTGTAACTAACAAATTACTGTATAGTTTTTTGTTTTTTGTTTTTTTTTTTTCCCCAGAAAGAGATGTTTCTTAAATATGATTATGGACGTCAACTGGTTGATTTCAAAACATACTGAAAGAAGTCCTGGTTAAAGGTGCAAGGCAAAAACTGGAATGGTGGCAGGGAGACAGAGTCTGCTAGTTCCTGAACTGCTTTTCTTCCTTCATCTCCCTTCCTCAGAGGCATACATTCCAAAAATGTCCCCTTATATATGCCAATATCCTCAATCCTGCTCTTTTGCTCACTTTCCCACCTTACTTTCAATCTCTTTCTCTTGTTTTTGATCTATTTTTAACATTTCTAAGCTATCTGGCATGTACTGACACTGTTCTACTAATGTCACAAAGTTTAATTTATTTAATCCTTCATATAAAAATCTGTAAGACAAATTTTCCTATAGTTCTTTTTTTTTGCTTTTTTTTTTTTAAAGATTTACTTACGTATGTATACAGAACTGGGGTACAGGCCAGAGGTGCAGGGGAGGTGAGAGGATTCACCAGAGACAGAGTAGGGAGCAGAACAGGCAGATCAATGAAGCATACTCCTGATGGGAGAAGCGGGTGTTTCAGGAGAGGTCTGCCTGCGCCATGTGGATCACCTCCAGGACGGAGCTTGAACTCATACTGAAGTGCCTTTAGCTTCTTAATGCTGTACCTTATCCCGCTGTGCCACCAAGGAGGGCCTAGTTCTTTTTATTTTTAAGATTTATTTATGCTTACAGAACTGGGTACAGGGCAAAGGTATGCGGGGTGAGAGGTTCCACCAGAGACAGAGTGGGGTGCAGAAAAGGAATATTGACTGAAATACACTGCTGAGGGAAGCAGTGGGTGGGTCAGGAGAGGTCTGCTGAGCCATGTGGGTCAGCTCCCTGGCGGGCGGTTGAATTCATGTTGCAGTGGCTTGGGAGAGCTTCATAGTGCTGTGCTTTAACCCGTTGGGTCACCAGGGAGGGCCTAGCAAATGCTAAGGGAGCTAAGTAACTTACTTAACCATGAAACCAGATCTGAACAGACCTTTGACTTTGGTGTCTTTGTTCTTCATCCACGACGCACAGCCCACCTAGTCCAAATTCAGTGTGGTATCTGGGTGGCAGGGAGAATGGAGGTGTGGCTATGACTGGGTGGTTAAGCCATTGATTTCACTTTTTCTTTTTCCTCTTTTTTTCTTTTAAGCCATGTTATGATACTATTAACATTTGCCTCAACATTTTCATGAAGCCTCAAGCCAATTAAAGAATGGAAAGTATTAATAGTATCGGTCAGATTTTTCTTGAGTACTTTTGTCCATTTCATTTTCTTTTATAAGGTGAAAAAAGCTTCTCTCTAGAGACTTCTGAGTACACTTTTTAAATTAGTCACCTCCCTAAATTAAACTTTAAGATGTTACTCAACTTTTCTAATGACATTGCAATTCCCACATAAAAGCAAAATTATAAAGCTTGGAATGTGACTATAAGCAAAACATGCTTTTCAAAGTATTTCTTGTGGGAAAAAATTACATTTCTGCTAAAGATGTGTATTGCAAAGGTTTTCTAGTGAAAATTCATTGGGGTTTTTCTGAAGACATGTAGACCTTTAATTAAAAGAATAAATCAATAAAATATTAGAAAATAGTTGAAGGTGTCAAAAGATACAAAACTCTCCTTATAAGTAACTGGGGTTGTAATGTTCAGCATGATGATTGGAGGTAGTGATATTATACTGCACATTTGAAAGTTGCTAAGTGAGTATATCTTAAAAGTTTGCATCACAAGAAAAAATCTTTATAATTATGCATGGTGATGAATGTTAATTAGATCTGTTGTGATGATCATTTTGCAATATATGCAAATACCATTTGCAATACATCTGAAGCCAAAATATTAATTATATTTCATTAAAACTTATTGGGAAAAAATAGTCCATTTTTAAAAATAGTTGGATTTTACAGGAGGAAATGCTGGGGATTGAAGTGCTAAGATAGTCTCAGACCTAAATGGAATATTCTTCACGTAGCCATTTTGGGATTATTACCACATATGGCAATAATTTCCTTGGTAACTTTCTTTTATTGGCTAAATAAAAATGAGAAAGTGATCCTCTAACAGTTTTATTCTGTTAATAAGTAAATGAAAACTCTATATGCAATTTGTCTTA